TGTGTGGTGTGTGTGTGGGGGTGTGTGTGTGTGTGTGTGTGTGGATGTGTGTGGTGTGTGTGTGTGGGTGTGTGTGGTGTGGTGTGTGGTGTGTGTGGTGTGTGTGTGGTGTGTGTGGTGTGTGTGTGGTGTGTGTGTGGTGTGGGGTGTGTGTGTGTGTGGTGTGTGTGTGTGTGTGTGTGTGGTGGGTGTGTGTGTGTGTGTGTGTGAGTGTGTGTGTGTGGTGTGAGTGTGTGTGTGGGTGTCTGTGTGTGTGTGGGTATGTGTGTGGGTGTGTGTGTGGGGGTCTGTGTGTGGTGTGTGGTGTTGGTGTGTGTGTGTGTGGTGTGTGTGTGGTGTGTGGGGGTGGTGTGTGGGGGTGGTGTGTGGTGGGTGTGTGGGGTGTGTGTGTGGAGTGTGTGTCTGTGGTGTGTGTGTCTGTGGTGTGTGTGTGTGTGGGTGGGGTATGTGGGTGTGAGTGTGTGAGTGTGTGTGTCTGTGTGTGTGAGTGTGTGTGGGTGTGTGTGGGTATGTGTGTGTGAGTGTGTGGGTGTGTGGGTGGGTGTGTGTGTGGGTGTGTGTGTGTGTGTGTGGTGTGGGTGTGTGTGTGTGTGGGTGTGTGGTGGTGTGTGTGTGGTGTGAGTGTGTGTGTGTGTGTGTGTGTGTGTGTGTGTCTGTGTGTGTGTGTGGGTATGGGTGTGTGTGGGGGGGTGGGTCTGTGTGTGTGTGTGTGTGGCGTGTGTGGTGTGGTGGGTCTGGTGTGTGGTGTGTGTGTGTGGGCGTGTGTGTGTGTGTGGTGTGTGTGTGTCGTGTGGGGTGTGTGTGTGGTGTGATGTGGGTGTGTGGAGTGTGTGTGTGTGTGTGTGGTGTGTGTGGAGTGTGTGTGGGGTGTGTGTGGTGTGTGTGTGGGGTGTGTGGTGTGTGGGGGTGTGTGTGGGGGGTGTGTGTGGGTGTGGTGTGTGGGATGTGTGTGTGGTGGTGGTGTGTGGTGTGTGTGGTGTGTGTGGGGGGTGTGTGGTGGGGTGTGTGTGTGTGGTGGGTGTGTGGTGTGTGTGTGGGTGTGTGTGTGGTGTGTGTGTGGAGTGTGTGTGTGGTGTGTGTGTGGTGTGGTGGGGGTGTGGTGTGTGGGTGGTGTGTGTGGGGTGTGTGTGTGGTGTGTGTGGTGGGTGTGTGGGTGGGGGGTGTGTGTGGGTGGTGTGGTGGTGTGTGTGTGGTGTGTGGGTGGTGTGTGTGTGTGTGGTGTGTGAGGTTTGTGTGTGTGTGTGTGTGTGTGTGTGTGTGAGTGTGTGGGGTGTGTGTGGAGTGTGTGGGGTGTGTGGGGTGTGTGTGGTGTGTGGGGGGTGTGTGGGTGGTGTGTGGGGTGGGTGTGGGGGGTGTGTGTGGGGTGTGTGTGGTGTGTGTGGGGTGTGTGTGTGGTGTGTGTGTGGTGTGTGTGGTGTGTGTGCGGTGTGTGTGTGGGGGGGTGTGTGTGTGTGGGGGGGTGTGTGGTGTGTGTGGGGGGGGGTGGGTGTGTGTGGTGTGTGTGTGTGTGTGTGTGGTGGGTGGGGGTGTGTGTGTGGGTGTGGGTGGGGGGGTGTGTGTGGTGTGGCGTGTGGGGTGTGTGTGGGGTGGTGTGTGTGGTGTGTGGGGTGTGTGTGTGGTGTGTGTGGGGTGTGTGTGGAGTGTGTGGGGTGTGTGGGGTGTGTGTGGTGTGTGTGTGGGGTGTGTGTGTGGGGTGTGTGGCGTGTGGGGGTGTGTGTGGAGTGTGTGTGTGGGTGTGTGGGTGTGGGTGTGGGGTGGGTGGGTGTGTGTGTGGTGTGTGTGTGTGGTGTGTGTGGGTTGGTGTGTGGGGTGTGTGGGTGGTGTGTGTGTGGGGTGTGTGGGGTGTGTGTGGCGTGTGTGGGGGTGTTGTGGGGTGGTGTGTGGCGTGTGTGGGGGTGTGTGGGGTGTGTGGCGGTGTGTGTGGGTGTGTGTGGTGTGTGTGTGGTTGTGGGTGGGTGGTAGTTGTGGCGTGTTGTGGGGTGTGTGTGCGTGTGGGGTGTGTGTGTGGGGTGTGTGTGGGGAGTGTGTGGTGTGGTGTGGTGTGTGTGGGTGTGTGGTGTGTGTGTGTGTGGCGTGTTGTGGCGTGTGTGTGGGGTGTGTGTGGTGGTGTGTGGTGGGGTGTGTGTGGAGTGTGTGTGGAGTGTGTGGGGTGGTGTGTGTGTGTGTGTGTGTGTGTGTGGTGTGTGTGTGGGGTGTGTGTGGTGTGGTGTGTGTGTGTGTGTGGGGGGTGTGTGGTGTGGTGTGGTGTGTGTGGGTGTGTGTGGGGGGTGTGTGGTGGTGTGTGTGGGGTGTGTGGGGTGGTGTGTGTGGTGGGGTGTGTGGGGTGTGGTGGTGTGTGTGTGGTGTGTGTGTGGTGTGTGTGGTGTGTGTGTGGTGTGTGTGTGTGGTGTGTGTGGGGTGTGTGTGGGTGGTGTGGGTGTGTGTGGGGGGGTGTGTGGCGTGTGTGGGTGGGTGTGTGGAGTGTGTGTGGGGTGTGTGGTGTGTGTGGTGTGTGTGTGGT